CTCCTCTTCCTCCTCCTCCTCCTCCTCCTCCTCCTTTTTTTCTTTTTGCAGTACCAGGGGTTGAACTCAGGACCCTGTGCTTGCCAGACAAGCGCTTATTCTCCTGAGCCATCTCCCAAGCCCTATCTCAAGTTCTTAGTTGCCCAGGTAATAGTTCCTCTTCTAGTTCTAGTTGCTATTGTCTCAGAAACAGTTGGTCACTGAGATGCATAGCTGGCCACTATATTGCACACTATCTAAAATAATGCCCAACTAACAAGCCCCTCTGCTTCTGTACTTCCTGCTTGCTTATCCCATATAAGCTCTGGACCACCAGAGGTCAGGGTCTGATATTTGGGGGATGATCTCAGTCCAGTGCTGTCAGTGTCAATAAATCTGCCTCCAGACCCTGGGTGTTGTTCCCACATCTCTGCTGGCTGTTGCTCTGCCACTGCCTCATTGATTCCAGAATTCACTCAAGTGCCAGTGCCACTCACCTGGATCTCTGTTGGCAGCCTGCGTGTATAGCTACTGTGTTTACTGTGATTCTGTGGACAGGTCTGATCATGTTATGTGCAGTATATGTAGCTTCCATATAGCATTGTACATTATCGCTTATTTTGTGATAATAATCACTTAAAACTCATTTAGAAAGTCTACAAACTTCACAATTACTTTGAAACATAGATATTTCACTTGTATATAAATCAAGACTAATTTATTTTCCAAAATTATTATTTTTTTTTGAGATAGGGTCTTACTGTGCAGCTCAGGCAGGGCCTCGAAATCACTATGTAGCCCAGGCTGGCCTTGAACTTGCAGCAATCCTCCTGCCTTAGCTTCACAAGTGCTGGGATTACAGGTGGGCACCATTACACACAGCCCAAAAAATAAATTCTTCATTTGACCAATTTTAAAAAGAATTCAGAAAACTCCAAAATCCTTCCAAGGTTTTTGTTATCTAAGAAAATATGAGTCACAGCTTCCTCAGTAATGAATATGCACCAGCTTGCTTTCTGCTTGCTTACCAACTCATCATGATTGGGCTGCCTTCACATATATTTCTTTTTGAGGTTCTGGGGATTAAATCTAGGACGTTGTGTAGCAGCTCAATGAGTGTCCCAGCCCAAGCTCCATCTCTACCTTATCAGTCTGTCACATGCTTTTAAATGCTGTACTTAAAAAAAGGCAAGTTATCAGAGGAGCAGGATAATGTGTCGATTAGCAGCATGGAGTCCTAGACCAGACTGCTAAGGAGTCAGATTCCAGCTTCCCCAGCCAGTAAATGTGTGAGTTCGAGCCCGTTTCTTAACTTTTCTATGTGTTGTTTCATTCCTTATAATGTAGACCCTTACAGCACCTCATTCATTGAGCTATTAAATCAATACTGAAAAACACTTAAGAAACACCTGGGTTAGCTGTTATTACTGTACAATTCCTGATGTCCAAGTGCCTGAGTATCTGAAACCATTGCGTGGCAGAATCAAGGCAAGAAAGAGCCACTGGAGAAATCTCAGTGTGAGATGGCTTGCCTCTGGTGGCACCCCTCATTGCAATCCCAGTGCTCAGAGAGGCTGAGGCAGGAGGACTGCAAGTCTGACCCCAGTCTGGGAAATTTGGCAATTTAGCGAGGCCCCATCTGTAAATTACAAAACAATAAACATAAAACAAGCTGCAAATGGAGACCAGTTGGAAGGCTCTGGGTTTAATCCCCAGTACTTGGAAAAGAAAAAAATTACTGTTTGCTACCAAGCCAGATACAGACAGGCCTTTCCACTGGAGGCTAAGTCTAGGGGCTTTCGCAGCCAAATTCCCTCTTCCCTAAGTGAACTCAGAAGGTTGTAAAAAAATAGTCTTAAGAATACAATGCTATATATTTCACATGCTGTCACCATCTCAATGAAGGGTGTCACCAAAAGAAAAGGCAACAATCAAATATGTCGAAATATGAGTGTCAGAGAAGACAAGATTGTGCTGGACGGTGTGTTGTTTTTCTACAGTTCTCTGTGGCTTCCAAATGGCTCTGCATTGAGCAAAATTCTGTTTGGTGATTAACAAAAATAGAAAGCAAAACGATTCCATTAAAACTTGCGATTTGCTCGACCACAGTGGAGCCACCAGTGGAGCATACGCCAGGATAGATGAAGAGAAAGGACTTAAACTCTACACGCCCATTTTGGAAGGGTTTTGCTAAGTAAATTAAAGCAAGAACTATCACAGTCAAACCTCATATTGTGAGTTTGGCGATTTTCTTTTACTTTTTTCCCATAAAATAAAAAAGTCAAGCAAACGTGTGTATCTCAAATGTACCAGTAAAACCGGGTTTTAGAAAATCAAACTACATGAATCCAACAGCCAGGGACTGCAGGAAGATCTCTCCCACGCTGAGGACAAGCAAGCTCCGCAGGACGAACCCGATCTGCGAGGCGCTAGGAAGCTTTCATCCACTAGAGGGCGATCACTGCCCAGGATTTAGTGAAAGAGGTGCAAAGTGCTCAAACCCAAGACGCGCTGCGAGGAACTTTTTTAAAAAAACTGAACACACGTGTGCGGCGGCCGAAAGCAGCAACACGCGCACGCGCAGGCCGGGGGCACAACTTGTAACAGCGTAGCAAAAAGACCCAGCGCACAGTCGTTTGAAAAACATGCCCAGTGGACGTTATTCAAATACAAGTACCCTTTCTCCATGGGTGTCGCCATCGGATGGATACCTTTAAATCTCGCGCATCAACCTGGACTGGTATTTTATTCTGTAAATTATTTCTGGAAACCAGCAGACATTCCTTCAAGCCCAGGACTCCACCCCAACCCCCACACACCCAAACGCACTTCAAAACAAGTGGGTTCCACAAAAAATAAATGCTGGGGGGAGGAGGGAACGGGCGTCTGTTCACGTGCTCGTGCGCTCCTGGGAATATATTCATTTTCAGATGAGAAGAGATTTGCATTTGCTTGCGCACAGAGATAGGAAGTCGATGGCATTTTCTTTCATTTACTCTTTCCTTTACTCGATTTTTGGTATTGCAAACATTTCTGAATTTTGCTATTTTTCATCTTCTCAAGCCTCGAAGAATCAGTCACCGAGGATGCGAAGAGATCTATCTCTGAGAAGGTTCTGGGGGGAGAGGCCCGATTTCTTCCTTGGGGACCCGCGGGGCGTCTACACTCTCTGCTTCCCCACTTGCTTGGCGTGGCCTCCACGGGCCAGGGCCGGCTTAGGATAGTTCAGCTCTCTTTAGCTTCGCGTTTGTTAACTCATCTCTCCCACGTCTTTCCTCAAAAGGCTCCTTCGTGCTTGTCCTTGGCTAGCAGACGTAGGTTACGGTCTGGGTCTGTGACACACGCACTTTGCTCCTCTGCTCTCCTTGGGGCTGGATGTGCCAGACTCGGGTATGCTCTCCCCCTGGAGTATCTGCATAGCCACTGGCTCGACCTCTTCCTTAGCGTGCCCTGGAACCCAGTTGTCCTGCAGGCCCGGCCTCTCCACTGCCCACTCGCGGGGAGGCGGTTCTAACGGGGATCTGAAGACAGGAGGCGGGCGAGAAAGGAGAAAGGCGAGGTGTGACGGATCACCTCTCCCGTGAAGCATGGCGTTGCAGTGTTCTGCAAACCCGACTTACAAACATAAGTAGAGTTACCGCGACAATCCAGCCAAACACATTGTACAAGAACACATTTCATTTCACCACTGCCCCGTGCCACTTTTTGCGAGTGTAGACCTTGACTGTATCCAGGCATCTGACTTGGTAGATCTGGGGCAGAATGGTTATTCCCTCCAGGCGCTGGATTTAAGCACAGATAGTTGAAATCTTCAGCAATTCCCTCGGAGAGCTATCCTGAGTTTAATATCCCTTTTTGTTGCTGTTGTCGGAACCGGGGATTGAACTCAGGCCTTTACTCTTGCCAGGCAAGCACTTATTCCACTGAGCCATCTCCCCGGCCCCTTAAACATCCCCTCTTTAACTTGAATCAGAAATATTCGAGTTCAGAGCAGGGTAAGGGTGGGAGGCCCAGTGGATAGCGCTGGTTGTTAGGAGGAGTGGCTGAGGCAGGCACCTGGGGACTGGACACTGCCTTCCTCACACCTACCCTTGGAGCCCTTTCCATAACCTGGGATTTGCCAAATAGCTATCATTTAGTTTTCAATTACAATGCACATCATCTGCTTCCAAATACTGTCTCTCCTTGCCCCATACATGTTTGCGCCACACATCTGTTCCCCCTCCCCACCTGTTTATACAGCGCGGGGCTGAGTGGGACATCGCTACCACAAGGCCCACATTTCATTCTTAGGGAGGTGGGTCGAGTCATCCTCAATCTTGGGCAAGAGGGTGTGGAGGCTTGGGGTCACCAAAGGAGACCAAGCCAGAACCAGGCCTCGGGGCAGGCTTGTGAAGAGCTCACTCTGGTGGTCTCACTGTGGCAGGCGCCCAGGCCCTGCAACACCTCATTCTCCAGGGCAGGACATCCTCCTCCAGTTGCCATCACTGCCTTGGCTTCCAGCTACAACAGACCCTGCGATCCCCACAGGAATGAGAGTGCACAGACCCCAGCATTTCTACCGTTTACAATTAACAACACTATTGTAATTCTGCTATGTGAATGAAGCATACAAGCAAGAGAAGGAAATTTCTTTCTTGGCAGCTTCGCAGCCACGTTCTGGTAGTAGAGTTCATATGCATTTGGTTAGACTCGAACCCTTCCTCCTTGTTTTGTGTGTGTGTGTGTGTGTGTGTGTGTGACCCTTTTAACATACCAGATACTGAGTTGCCCATAGCTAAAACCTCTTTCCCGATAGCTAAAACCTCTTTCCCGGTTACAATATTTACACACGAAAAAAGAGATGGGATCACTTTTTGAAACTGAACTTTCGGGGCTCACTAACCTTTCTGCCTTGGGTCCTGGACACAAGGACGGCTCCGGAGGTCCCAAGAACAGTGTGTGCTGCGAAGGGAGACGCTCCCTTCCTGAGGATCCCAGTTGGAGGGGGATGGGGGGAGGGGAACAGTCCTCCTCCTGTCGCTCCAAGGGCAGGCAGGGTTCTGTCGTCCCCGCAGGAGATGCAGAGACGCCCATGTGGCCTTCTCCTGGAGTCCTGGAGTGCTGCTAAGAATCCTCAGCATAAGTTGAGAAAGGTATCCTCCTCCCCAGGTCAGATCTTAAAGTCTACGAAATGATGCGTGTGCCCAGGCCTGGAAGTTAATAAAGAAAAGCAAGAGAGACCGTCTATTTCAGAAGTGAACAGAGGCAGCAAAAGGTAAACAATCCATGCTGCACGGCAAACCTCAAACTCCACCACAGACCCGACTCTGCAAAGACCGAGCTTCGTAAACGCGGGTTTGGAGGGAAGTAAGTCCTCCGGATTTCCCGCTGGGCAGAGACAGCCTCTACCACTCATGGCCAAACCCATCCCTCCTGGGGCTGCAAGTCTGTCCTTGAGCCATTTATTGCGTGCCTGCTTCCTTCCTTCCTTCCTTCCTTCCTTCCTTCCTTCCTTCCTTCCTTCCTTTTCTTTCTGTGTTTTGCTCAGTGAATTTAGACTTAGTGATCTCATCCAAATGGTTGGTTTGTGGTGCAGCACTTGAATAACTAAGCTCTCAAAACTGTCCGAGGGTTTTCTTCCTAGGTACACAGTTCAACCCTGCCAGGCTTATAGGCCGGCCAGAGGCGAAGAGCTGGGGCGTAGAAACAGTGAGAACAATCGTCCACCCCTAACCCATGGACATCGGCGCCGCAGCCCGAGGCCAGCAACTTCCGCCTGCATCTCCAGTCCCAGGGTTCAGCCAGGGAAGTAAAAGGATGCTCCTGCACCCCAAATTTCCGCTCGAATCCTGGGGATCCTGCCCCTATGCAACTCAAAGCAAGAAGTAATAAGCGAAGGAAGAAGAGGAAAGTTGTGTACAGGAGACGGATACTCCCGTGAAGCGGAAGACCTTCCCGAGAACTAAGCGAACCCAGGAACTACAGAGCTCCAGGGACAGGAGTGGAGAGCACAGGGGGACAGAGGAGGCGGATGGCAGGGAGAATGGAGCTTCCGCCCACAGGGAATTCAGGACCCCTACAAACTTAGGGAGCTACGAATTCATCTACACAGCTCCGGTGAACCGGGCTGCCTCTGGTGAGCCCCGCGCAGAGCAGTGGCAGGGCGCGCCTGCCCCGTGGGCTCCGCTTTCCAGAGTGCAGCTCCACTCGGGGTACTGGGGGCAGACTATTAAAGCTTGCCCATAAAAGGTCTGAATTTTATTACACTTCTCTTAAAAAAGTAACACGCTCTCTGTCCCTACACTCTCCCTCCCTTTTCCCACTTTATTTAGCACAATCTAGGCGGCCAGTGGGCCCCTTAGCAGAACGGCTCCCTCGCAGGGTCCCGCCCCTCCTCGCTCCGCCCACCGGGTGGTGGGGGCGGGAACTAAGCGGGCGCGGCCCGCCGTCCCCTCATCTGAGCCTATCCGAGGCCGCGGCGTTCCTGAGTGGGCGGGCCCAAGGGGGCGACGCGAGGCTCGAGGCTGCGTCTGATTGGAGATGCTAGGACGCCCCCCCACCGCGACCAGTCCCGCCTCGCCCCCGCGCCGGGAGTGACGTCCCTCAAAGTTGTGGGTTTGGGCCCTGAGTGACCTCCCAGCGGTCTGCACTAAAGAGCTGCTCCCGGGCCGTGAGCTTTTATTACCTTTTGCGCCTCCTCCAGGCTGTCAAGGCGGCGGCCCGCAGCGGTCCGGCTGCGGGTGGAGGACCGGTCAGAGCGGACGGGAGCGGGGTCTGGGCGGGCGGTGCGGGCGGCAGGGCCGGCTCTTGGCGCGCGGGCTGCGCTCGGCCCTCCTGGCCGGGGCGTCGGGGCGGCTCTCCCAGCGCGG